AAAAAAAAACAATGAGACCCAGGGCCAAGTCCCACTAGCAGCATCGAGTTTCCTCAACACCTGAATCTGGACGAGTTTGTGGAGATGTGCCGTTGACGAAATGCAACCCGATTTCTGCACATCTCCACAAAGTTGGCACAAATACGTCCAGAATCCAGATTCAGGCATTGAGGAAACTCAACGCTGCTAGAGGGACTTTGTGGTGGGGGGGGAGAGAAAGAGGGGAAGGCATTTGCGTGGGTTAATTCATTCCCGACACACAAAAGAGGAAACAAATGCCTGTTCTAGTCATATTCCCTTTGGATTTTTTAGAACAAAGATGTTATATTCGGGGCAGCCTGCCACCTCTCTTTTTTTTTTTTTTTTTTTTTTTTTTTCCTGTCACCTCTTCCATGTCCCATTCCTAACCAAAAAAAGATGGGGGGAAAAAGTCCCATTCTTATAATTAGACTATCAACGAAATTTAATACCAGTTAGGACATTTCCTTCGATGTACGTATCTGAATTTAATAACATCCACATCCAGTTAAAACTGGTAGTGTGAGAACCTGGAGGCCTTGTCAAAAAGAAAAAACATAAATATAAGCATGCTCAAAAGCGATACTCACAGATGTTTCCCCTAAAAAAGTAAAAAGCAGAAGATAAAGGAAGTCGTCAAAATTGACTTTAATTAAGTCATCTCAGAGAGACTTAGGGCGTACTCACACTACCACTACTGCATTTACGGCCGGACGTATATGCCTCTGGCCACAATTCCGTCCGGAAATACGTAAAAAAGTGTTCGCACAAGTGCCCTTGCATCGGCATATCTCCCAACGGACTGGCGAGAGTGAGACATACATCTCAGAGAGACCGAAACATCTAGAGATTGTTAACTGAGGGAGGGACCCCACAGGCTGGTGGCCTGGAATGCAGTCTGGCAGAAGTCCGAGGCGAAGGGCCAGCACGAGCGGAAAGCAATCAGAAGAGGGGAGCCCACTGCCACCACGAAAATGTGCAGCTGCGGGCCCTCGCTATCCCGAACAGGAAAGTCGACCCCGAAGTCTCCTAAAAGGCAAGCGTGTCCATTTCATTTGTGTTCCTGGGTCCAGGCCCATAGGTGCATGGCCCGTTCCTTGCGCACCAACGTGCGGCGGGGTGGGTGATGCTGTACGCATAGCTGCGTACAAGGAAGGAAGGATGGTGCAACGGCTGCATTTCTCAAATGCCCGCTTTGCTGCGCCGCGCTGCTGTGACCGAAGGTGTGATTTGCCGTTGACCGAAGGCGTGATTTGCCGTTGGCGGTCCGTGTCACCATCCGCTGTGCCATCTCCAAACCTTCGGGAACAAAAGAGAGAAGTGTACTGGGGGGGGCGGAGACAGGATAGGTAGGGCAGGGTGGCTGTTCGAGCGGAGTCATGGACGAGGAGTGGGAAGATTGACTCTTGTTTTTCATGGTTGCCGTCATGCAGTGGGTGAGTCGCCTTAATGTGGCAGCCATGGCTGTCCTTGACGCGGCTTCTCTTTTGCCGCTGCGGGACAACGAACTGGCGATGTCCAATGCCCATGACAATGCTAGGCGGTGTAGTCTGTCATAGCCTTTCCATGTTGTCTGCCTTGTCGACCGGTGTCGAGGACTGCGTGCGGGGCAGGTGGAGAGTGTGGGTGCTAGAAAGGGGTGGCGGTGTGTGGAAGGACCTGCAGCGCCAGGGGGAACGACACGAGAAAATGGTCAGGAGATTTGCAGGCTCCCGTGTCCTGTTTTCAATGACATTCTGCAGCAGATCGGACCTCATATCCAGCGAGCTACGACGAATTGGAGACAGCCGTTGCCCGTGGAGCAAAAGCTTGCTTGTGCGCTGATAAGGTGGCAACAGGAGGGTTTTACAGACAGTTCGGCCATGGTCTAGGTATGGGACTCGCGAGCGCCCTGCGGAGCAACATTGGTCGTTTTTCTCCATTTTCCATATTTTCCATATAATTAGCATAAAAAGGTATTTTACATACCTTAAAATCATTGCGAAATTTCTATTTTGTATACCTGTTTTTTTGTAAGTTTTAATTTTTCATTTTCTAAAAATCCTAAATTCTGAAATTCTGAATTCCTGATTCTATATCACAATATTTCGAAACTTTGTTTATGTATCAATTTCTTAATGCCTAAAGTCCTAATTTTCGATTTTCATTTTCCGTTTCATTTTCTTTTTCGAAAATCACTGGAATTTTT